CTCTAATAGTTTCCCTTTTCTGTACCTGCTGTATAACACCTTACATGGTAATGTTCCTTTCTGTCCTCATATTTTTAAAAATGACTAGTAAACCTCATCTATCTTTTTTTATAATCAAGTAACAAATAGCTTCAATTACATGTCTACTATCCCATATCATTGCAGACAGTAGAAAGCTAAAGTTCCTATACACTAGGCAACAGTGGTACTATAATTAGTTCTCTCACTTTCATGATAAACACACTTAAACAAAAAGGAATAGAAAAACAGAGACTACCACTAATTTTTTCCCTTCCAAGTTCAGGAGAAGTAATTGTTCTATAAAGGTAGAAAGGTGCAAAGTAGCTAAAATAGACCCTGCAAATAATAAACAAATAATCCAGCACTCAAAGGCAATGCCTGCTAAAAAGAGATGGTGTTTAGTGAATGTAATTCAGAACTTCCCTATTCAAAATATCCAGATTATCACAGGACCAAAATATTTACGATACTACACTGAGACTTACTCTGAACAGTGATAACCAGCTTCTACTCATTACCTAAGGGGCTCTGGTAGTGTAATGGTTATGAATCGGGCTGCAAACTCCAAGGTCAGCCATTGGAAACTACCAGCTGTTCCGAGGGACAAAGATGAGGCTTTGTACTCCTATAAAGATTTACAGCCTTGGAAACCCTGTACAGGGTCACTATGAGTCGGAACTGACTCCACGGCACACAGCCACCACCACTCATTACCTACTTACTATATGTAGGGTGCTGTGCAGTGATCTGACAAGATAAAGAATACTGATCCCCAAACAGATTACTCTCTGGGCAAGATACATGGGATCCATGGAATTCACAAACAAGGTGCTATGGGAGCCCTGCAAAAGGAGTGATTTCTCTTCCTGCAGGATGGATGGGCTGCGCCTCCCTCTCTTACACCACAGCTGTGATAGCGCTCTTCTCAGCTGAGAAAGAAGAAATACTTGGCATCTCACAAGGTGAGCGTGCGATTTGAACAAGTCCCACAGGTGGTTCTGACATGAGTTGCCATCTCCTCTAGGGAAAGATTCCTTTAAAGGGGTTGAAATTAAGCTGGGTTGGAAAGTTAAATAGACTTCAACAAGTACAGGAGGATGGGGGCATAACGTGACAAAGGCACTGTGTGAGATAAAAAGCGGGGCAGAGAAAAGCAGGTTGTCTGTGGGGAATACCAGCAAATATGAATATTCCAGGGTGGCTGAGGTTAGATGGTTTTCAAGTCGGTTCCAACTCATATGACCATATACAGGGTTTCTGAAAGCAGCTGGTGGTTTTAAACAGCCAACCTTGCAATTAGCAGTTCAATGCTTATGTTACAGTGTCACACCAGGGCTCAGGTTAGATGGTAGTGTTGGTTGTGCTGTCGAGTTGGTTGCAACTCATATCAACCCTGTACGAGGTTTCCAAGGCTGTATATATTTACGAGAGCAGAAAGCCTCATCTTTCTCCCGTGGGGCGACTGGTAGATTTGAACTGCTGACCTTGCGATTAGTAGCCCAGCTTGTAATACACTACACTACCAGAGACCATCTTTCAGGCTGAATGGTATAGGGCCTAAAATGGCATAATAAGGAGATGGACACATATTAATTACAGTGTTAGGGCCCTCCTGAGGTCTGTTGGTAGTGTCGAGACTTCTGCTTCCTCCTTACCTGAGATGCAACCAAAATGCTCTACTATGTTTTATTTACTGGTCTTTATTCATGGTATCTTTAGAAATTCTTTGAGTAATGTAATGGTACTCCACTTTTCAATTCCACTGCTTTTTAAATCACTGTGAACTACTTCTGGAACTTTCAACAGCAGGAACAACAGAAACCTGAGTCCCTCCCCAGACCAATTAAGTCAGAATCTAATGTGCAGTAGGGCTGAGAACTACCCTCAGAGTTTGGCATCCCGGAGGGTCTCTTAAGTATGATCCAGAGAGCAGCAGTATTACACAAACTTACTGAATCCAAATCTGTACATCAATAAGATCTCCCCAGAAGACTGGTACGTACATTAGCAATACGTACAGGTATTGATTAAGGATTTAAATAGTGAAGATGTAATGAAATTATGTGATCTATGTTGTGGTTGTCCTTAAGTACCATTGAGTTGGCTCCCACTCATATAAACACTGTATAGACTTTGAGTAGTGGGTGATGGATTTGAACCGCTGATCCTGTGGTTAGCAGTTTAGTGCTTATCCTACAGGGTCACACTACCAATTCCAGAGCCAGAAATTGTGCTAGGCATTTTTTATATCTCTCTGAGCCTCGGTTTTCTTATCTGTAGATGGGAAAATTATTTACCTTTTATGGATGTTATAAAGCAGCTCTGGTAGAACCATGGTTAAAGTGCTCAGTTTCCAACCAAAAGGTCGGTGGTTCGAACCCACCAGCTGCTCTGTAGAAGACTGATGTGGCAGTTTTCTTTCATAAAGCTTTCCAAACTTGACATCCTATTGGACAGTTGTACTCTGTTCTGTAGGGTCACTATAAGTCAGGACCAACTCACTGGCTGTGGGTTGGGGTGTTGGAAGAATAAAGTGCCAAGTGTGGTATTGAACCATTAACATACACGCCTTTAAATTAATGCAGTTCTGCAAACGTAGTGTTATCTGTAACTGAGCAGTTCAATGTCTAGACAGAGTTTAAAAGGTCAATGGAGGAACTGAATTTCAGAGCCAGGACTGTCTCATTCGACAGTTCGTTTTCTCTCCCAAACAACACTCTGCATGCCAGCAAGGACTGACAGTGGAAGAGACAGGAGACCATAGAATCACAGGTAACAAACTACAGTGTTCAAATATTAGTTGTCTGCAATTCTGTATGAGACCTGAATTGACTAGACTATAAACAGATGCCAGTAACAAGCAGATTAGTTATTCTGGTCTGAGTAATACATATGTATGCTCCAACATCATCCAAACACTTAGAAATTTAGTCAAATATAAGACGGCATTTAACAGTATTTATCTTCTGGATGCATATGTGGAGTTGACAGGCACTTTCACATACACCATGTTTTCTAACCATCACAACTATGTGAGATGGGATTGTTATTCTCAAAGGAGATCACTTTGCTTTTTTTTCCCTTCTTAAATCCTATACTCAATTTCAAAGCTTGGATTTTTTATTACCTTATAATGACTTTCAGGAATCAGGCTGTGATTTTTTTTAAAAAAAAAACCCCAAAACCCCCTAATGACATGCACAGATTTCATCTACTATTCTTCCTTCTTCCCTTCAGCCCATCACCAAGGTCAGGAGACAAGTGGGATTTTGGTTAAATGAAACAAGATGAAGAGCAGAGTAGGCAGTGTAGCACAGACATATCTTGGTGCTTGGCGCCACAGAGGAGATGGAATGGACCTGCCGGGGCTCTTGGCAGATGTGCTGCCCCAGCTGAATGCCAGAGAGCACCATGGTGGAGAAAAGAGATCGACTAATTAAACGGAACACTACGAAGTTACTTTTTGGCTTTTGGGGTCACTTTGTTAAAATCAGGCCACTTTCCCATCATTTTAATGTCAGTATTTCTATAAGGTACCTGAAGGTACCTATAAAAGTCCACACAATTCCCAATTGTGTAGTTAGCTGTAAAGAATATACATTTTCAAGAGGGAAGCAAATTGAAGGATCTAGATATGTTTTGTTCTTTACTACACTGAAAGGGGCAGAATTAGGACCGTATTTCTATATTAAATCATATTCCAATGATGGTCCGTCCATTTTGCCTGCCCCTAGTGCTCACATGAGATTTTGCAGTGTGCTCTTGTAAAACACTTCTAAAAGTAACTTTCAGCACTCAACTTGGTGATTTAATATTATGCAAAGTTCATTAGTCATGGTATCAGTATCAATTTTCTCCTCTAGATATTACTGCCTGTCTTTCAGATTTCAAACATTGCCCCTCTCTTTGTAAGCAAAACACACCCAGGCTTTATAGAAGGTCTGCTAGCTAAGAACCACAAATTTGTAGAATCCCTTACTAATTCCTGTCAACATGGACCATCTTTGAGGGAATTAGTGGTTTTTGCTCTTGGAAGTGCTGCAATAGTGGAATTAGCTTACGCTGCCTAGCCCCATCTTACAGTGTCTGCTAATATGTCAGGTGGTTGGCTGCCAAGCAGATTTAATTTACCCACTTCTCAGTTTGCATTAACCTTTGAATAATAAAGCACAGCTGAGGTTGCTGTAAGAAACAAACCGAAGAATGAATAATTAAAAACACCTTCTCAGCCTTGGAAAGACCAATCCCTAATCATTACATTTAATTGTGACTACACTAAGAACTCAAAAGGCTAATTGTACTCTTTATAAATCAAACAATGCTAAGGACATAGTATGACTATAGTATATGCGGTATATGAAAAGCAAAGCTCTGAAAGCTCCCAGTAATTATATCGTATTAAAAAGTAAGGGTGAAGAGAGAGAGGCAGAGATGATGACGTGGAGAGATGGAGCGGCTGAGAACTCTGGACTCAGGGAGGGAGAGGGGCTGTGTACTGACGACCATGGGGTGGGCTTGCAGGGTGTGCCCTTTGGTTGTTTGAACGATTGCATATTCCTGAGTTCTTCACTGTACATCCAAAAAATAAAACAAAAAACCCCCAGAGACAATGGAAGCAAATGCTGTTGAATGGTGACGCATGGAGGGGATTGTAGTCATTGCAATGAAATGAAATGCCAGAGGATGAATGTAAAACTGATTTTCTCCCATGTAAACTATCACCCAATTCACACAAAAACTTTTAAAAAAAAGTAAGGGTGATCTGATTATTTGAAAAAAAAAAATTTTAAAGGTGGTCTCTCATTGTCTCCACACAGGGAAAAAAATGCTACTACTTAGAAAAAGCTATTATTTATTTGATGCATGTGGATTCTCTGTAGTTTTTGAAAGGATAGAAATGCTAACATTGAAACAAAAGGTTGACAATCAAATTTATTACAGGAAAACCTTTATTTTCTTTGATTCTGTCATGTACTTACGCCATTTGGACTTGTACTTTGTTTTGATGGATTGTATTCAAGGCTTCGAACCAGTACATTCCAGTTTGACCCATTACTGAGAATTTGCCTTTCCACCCCAGATAATTATACCATCTGTATGTTCTTGTTCTTAAGTACCGTCAAGTCGGTTCTGACTCATAGGGAACCTGTAAATACAGGGTTTCTGAGGAACAGCTGATGAGCTTGAACCACCGACCTTGTAGTCCAGTACCGACACTCCACACCAGGACTCCTACATTATCTATATACTGAGCAAATAAGCTACGAAGTTGGACTATGTAAAGTAAAACATAGCATCAGGACTGGAGGAAGACTCATAAACAACCTGTGATATGCAGATGACATAATCTTGCTTGCTGAAAGCCAAGAGGACTTTGACGACGATCAAAGAATACAACCTTCAGTATGGATTGTACATCAACATAAAGAAAACAAAAATTCTCAATTGGACCAGTAAGTAACATGATAAATGGAGAAAAGGTTGAAGTTATTAAGGATTTCATTTTATTTGGATCTACAATCAACGTTCATAGAAGCAACAGTCAAGAAATCAAATGACACTGCAGAGGGCATTTTAAAGGGTTAAAAAGCAAAAATGTCACTTTAAAGACCAAGGACTTCTGAGTCAATTACCTCATATGCATACAAAAGATGGATAATAAGTAAGGAAGATCCAAGAGAAACATGGAACAACACAGTGGCTACAAAAACAGCAATAAATATAAGGATGGAACAGGACTGGACAGTGTTTTGTGGTACACAGGGTTGCTTTCAGTCAGAAGGGATGTGAAAGACACCTAAGGAAAACAACACAAGATATACTGAATCAGAATCTACATTGTAACAAGATTCCCAGGTAATTCTTACGTATACACAGTTCTTATACTTCTTAAGTGAGTATTATGTAACTTTCAGACTGACCAGGGGATCTTCTTGAAGTGTAGATTTTTATTTCGTACATTTGGGGTTGTTGTTGTTGAGTGCTGTCCAGTCAGTTCCAACTCCTAAATACAAATTTTCAGCAGGGGGTCAAAATGGAATTAAGTTGGAAGTCCTGATTTAAATTTTCTTTGGGGAATATCAACTGTGTGCTATATGACAGGGCTTCAAAAAGTTCATGGAAAAATTTCCATTATCTTTTAATTATATTTCCCATGTACTTTTTAAAGCCTCCTGGCATTTTATATGTTAAAACCACAGAACAGTAACCTATAATTTGTATACTTGCTAAAACATTGCTGCTAAGTGCCCAGTTATTTATGATGAAGAGAATAGAATTTATGTACTGAATAGAAGCACACAAAAATAAACCTATGTTTAAAATTACATAAAGTTAAAAGATCTTTTTAAAAAAATTAATACTTTGTTGCAAGGAATCCTGGTAGCATAGTGGGTTATTCTACCAGCTGCTCTACAGGAGAAAGATGAGGTTTTCTGCTCCCGTAAAGATTTATAGCTTGGAAACCCTATACAGGGCCGCTATCAGTCAGAATTGAGTTAATGGAACACAACCACCTCCACCGTCTTAACTGGTGTTCTGCTGATTCTACAAATTTTAAAACTATCTGTTGTTGTTATGCCATTGAGTCACTTCTGACTCACAGCAACCTTGTATAGGGTGTCCGAGAGTGGCCAGCACATAATTATATTCAGTATCTATGTTCACAGAAGCACCATTAGTGTTAAGAAAATAAATATCCAAGTTGTCAAAACATTAATGCTATTTCTTAAATGTCAAAAACAAGAGCAATAACTAAAACCTCAGAGACGGGGTATAATTCTCACATGTTAACAGACAGCAACGCAAACCAATATTTATAAAAGAAGTTGTATAAAGGAAAAAAAAAATCCACTTAAAGTAAATTTGCTTGCTGGGTCCCTTCAGCAATAGAGACAACAATATAAAAAAGGAAATAAGAGGAATGTGAGTTTCAGACAGTAAAAGTAGTGAAAGAAAGGAATCTTTGGGCTTTCACTGCTTTTGTTTGGATTCGGAAGTAACCAAGTACCAAGCTTCAATATAGTACCACAAATTAAATGATTCCTCCAATTATAAATGTTTATTCAGATGGCAAATGGGAGATCAATTCATACTTTTTAATTGCTTGGTTTAAAAAGCTCAATTTGTTATAGACGTAAGTCTTCACAGGATCATTCTTCATGATCTGCTTGTCAACTCAGTGTCTTTGCATGGTTAAGGTAAGTAGTAGGAGAGGAGACGTTCTGTTTCTGTAGTTACATTAAGATAATATTAGCGTATTTCTCTTAGGAGCTATCATTCTATACTCTTTAACTCATACTACAATAGTGACAATGCCAGAAAAGAATTCAAGACTTACAAATGTGGTCCTATGGACTAAGTGTTGAGCTGTTAACCTCAAGGTTGGCGGTTCAAATCTACCAGCTGCTCCTTGGGAGAAAGGTGCAGCTGTCTGCTCCCATAAAGATTTACCGTCTCAGAAACAATATACAGGGTCATTATGAATCCTAATTGACTTGATGGCAGTGGGTAAATTAGTCTCAAGGATTTCAAAGGGAGTTACATGCTTATCTAGAAAGCCAGTATAAAACTACTGAGACCAGTTTCCCTTTCATGATTGCTAATGCTTAAAATACAAACTACTGGAAGAGCTCAAACTCCTATCTTAGCAAGTACCCTCTCCTCTGGAATCTTTCATTTGTCTAGGTTTAGATTTATTGATTAGAATTTTAATAAATGAATTTTGTTCCATTTAACTATGCTATATATTACAAATGAAGAATATAAATACAGACCAAGAGAATCACAATAAAGGAAGGACTAAAAAGAGCATGGGGTATTCTTCAAGAATGTTGCTAAAGGACTTGAGTTGGAAAAGTGGTTTCAGAACAAAAGCTCTGAGATCTGCTTACTTCTGAACAGTGAGATTAGAAGGATACCAAGAATGGAAAAATCATGGCCTTTATGATACTGTTGCAGAAATATCACAGGGCTTGAAAAGCATCAGGGTTCCGAGCAAAGCAGTGATGCGAAAGATGAAAACACACCCCTGATGACAAAGTAAGGCAGTGAGAAACAAATAGGAAATACAGATGATTCTCACCATGTTTGTGGAAGAAGGCAGGTCAAAGATTCTGGTATATACTCTGTAATATACTACATAATCATGGTCTCAGGTTTTATGGACCTGTCAGCCCCCTGGATCAGAAAGAACAGATTGTGTAACCTATCTTCATGAGCAGACAGCTGTTCATTTCCCTGGTGCCTACGTAACAAGGAGGGCAGTACCATGTTGGGAATTCTGACAAACCAGGAAAGAAGAGTGTGAAGTACAGCAGCAATAATTCCTTTGGGAATCTGCAAGGCCCAGCTTCAAAAATCTATCAGTGGATTTTAATCGATTCTAACCCGGGCCTCCAGACTTGCTCACTAGTGAACATGACTTTTCCAGGACAACTCTTCTTATGTAATGCTCTCAAGTTCTCCAACCTGCCTGGTAGATAACTAGCTTCTTTTACCTGAAGAGTCTTGACTAGTGCTTCTTGAGTCTTGAACATTTGCCAATATGGTTGCATGCCAGATAAAACAGGGCACTGTAAACCCTTACTAAGTAACATAATAAAATGAAACCTTGCCAGATGTGTGTGTGTGTGTACAGAGAAGTTGTGAAAAAAGAAATTATGGACTTACAAACTATGGTTTTGATAATCATAGAACTTCAACTATAAAACATGAATTGCCAATAGATTACACTTGTGTCTTCAATAGGCAGCAAGCTTCAATGAAAAAAAAAAAGAAAAAAAAAAAATGGAATGAATCAGTGTGATGGTCTCTTGGAACTTGTTTAATCATGTATAATATTAAGGAGAAATCAAACCTGACAGATGTATCATAAAATATAGCTCTTCTGCCATTGAATTTGCCTGTCAACTTGACAGGGTCAACTCTTTCTTCTAAGTTATTACTGAGGTACTGGATCATCTTAACAGAAGTTCATACTGGGCAGTATGGAACGTCAACACCCAGGGGAGGAGGCCGCAGATGTCCATTAGTATGACTATAAAAGTAAATCCATAATGTGAATAATAAAATATATTTAATAAAGTATGATTTAATTTAAATGTGCCCCCTTGTCTTTCCTTTTTATTTGCTGCAATTATTTCATTCATATAAGTTGCTGTTGTTGTTATTGTTAAGTGCCATCGAGTCAGTTCTGGCCCATAATGACCCTGTATAGTTAGGAATCTGTAATTAACAAACAATCAACCAGTTGCCATAGAGTTTATTCCACCTCATGGTGACCATTTTCAGGTGTGTCCTGTAGAAATGCACTCTGTGCAGTTTTCACTGTTGTGACCTTTTTGAAGCCAACTGCCAGGTCTTTCCTCTAAGGTGCCTCTGAGTGGGTTCAAACGGTTGTGCTGTAGATCAGTGATCAAGCACTTAACTGTTGGTACCACCTAACACTTAACTTTTAAGATCACTGGAGTCCTGTAAGAAGTGCTAGTGAGCTTAAATGTAACAATATCCATCCTTTACCTCTCCCTGGGGGAACTGAGTCATAGAATGTTATTGAACTGAAAGGGATGCTGATGATTGTCTAGATCAAATATCTTGTTTTACAACTGAAGCAGTGCAGATCCATCCATTTAGGTTTATTAAAAACAAAACGAAACAAAAAAACACCACCCCACAATTTAGTATGTGCCCACTCTGAACAAACACATATTCTAATTTTATTCTAACAGCCCCGTGAAACGGATTTCATTATGCTCAATTTAGATGAGGAAATCAAGAGAGGCAAGACTTGCTCAAGAACACACATGTAGCTAGTCAGTTCCAGATCCCAAGACTGAAATCCTCAGAGTTCAAGTCTGCTTCTGTCTTCTTCTTCCCTTTTTATTTTTGGTTTGGTTCCCTTCCTCAACTGAGTATCAAACACACCATATTAGGTGGCTTGCACAAGTCATGAAGTCAGAGTTGTAGATTTGAATCTTAGCCTTG